CCCAGAATTCCCCAGCCAGCTTTGCTGGCTGGGGAATTCTGGGAGTCAAAGTCCGCCAGGCTTCAAGGGCCCAAGGTTGGAGACCTCTTCTTTGAACACTTACTTAAGCAAAGATCTAATGTAGGGGATGGAATGGGAGAACTCGCCACGGCCAACTCGCCGCGGCCCACACCGGACTGGCCATCTCGCCGCAGCCAGAATTCACGCCGGATAACTCGGCTAGGTGTTATCCGCCACCGTTTCTTCGACATGATTTCCACTGGCAAAAATGGAAATTGGGGCGGAGAACGTTGATTGTGTTGAATGATCCCGCGTGGAACTATCGCGCGAGGCAAGCTGTCCCGTAGCGAGATGGCCAAAGCAAGAAGGCCTTCCTGGATTGGCCATGGCACGAGGTCAGCCGCGAGTTCATTGAGGCAACCGTAGAAGACAACCACGGCGAGTTGTCCTGGATCAAAGGGTGTCAAAACTTGTGGCGAGTTCTAGTCCCGCCTTAGGTATGAAAGCCGGATGGGGGACTTTGCGCCAGTCCCTCTCTCTCAGTCCATCCCACCTCACAGGGATGTTGTGGGAAAAACAGGAATATTATGTACTAGCTTGATACCCGTGCTTCGCTACGAAACTATGTGATTGGCCTTAGTTTTTGGGGAGGAAAATAAGGGGGGGAAAATTTGTGCCTCTGCCTACCAGCATCCATCGGTATTCATCTGGCTAGTGTCCAGTCAGTGTGTGAGAGAGTTGAGGGCTGTTTGGAAACCGAAGCAGTATTTGCTGTGTGAGCAAGAAGGAGACAACAAGGAGCCTGGGCGTGGCTTAGCTCAACTGTTCTGTACTAAAGCTGTGAAACTAAAACTAAAACTGAAACTCTCCTCCTCTGCTTGTGTTTTGCAAGAGTTTTCTTTTCAGGTGGGGAGGGGGAGGAGAACTCCCTAGCATCAGAGCGTGTTAATAATAATCATATAGGAAATATTAAAGCTCTGATGGTCATTTCGAAAAATCCTTTCTTAGTGAGCACCTAGAAGCCAAGAGGAACAGACGTGCCAAATGTCAAGTTTGTTGGCTTTACAGTTCTGGAGATTTTGTGATGATGCGTGAGGGGCATTTCACTTTTATACATGTAGATTTTCGCCTGCCTTGAATTATTTGTAAAACCAACACAGGCAGGATTAAAAAAAGTAAAGTAAAAATGCACAAGTAAAGTAATCTTGGGCTCTCACCTGAAAGATCTGGTTGACGTGGGCAGCGATGAACTTGGCTTGGTAAGTGATGCCGTTGGTCAAGTGTAGCTGGACCAGCTCGCCCTCCGCAGGGGCCCCCATCTTAAGGCAGTCTCTGCTCTGAGAAGCAAAACGATTCCTTTACAACCAGCTCTCGTGGGCTAGGTTCTGTCCCTGAGTCCAATCAGAGGCCAGACTTGATCAGGTAGACCTAAACCTGATCAGAGTTCGCCATAATTTCAACTGGGAAACTGAGCATCTGAGACCAAGCCGCGTCCAAAAATGCTAGAAGATTCCCTGGAAGCTTGGCACTCAAACAAATCAACCATCAACAGGTACACAGAGGTAAACCACATTTCCGCACCGTTCAAAAGAGACAATAAGAAAAACCAAGAAAGAAGCAAAAAGACTAGAACCCATCCTTTCCAGGAGCAAGCACCCAGATAACCAGGGATTAACACCAGACAAACAATCAAGCAGGAAACCATATTCTCATCAAGAAACGACCAATTCAGGCAGAATCAAACAGTAAACTACAGCCTGATCAAAGAACCACCAAGAACGCTCCCATCAACCCTGACACAGCAAGCTGCTGGTACATAAACAGAGTGCAAACCCCACTCCCTTCTAGCACTGATGATGTTCCTTAGTTGGGTCATGAAATGTCTGCGCAAAAAGAACCAAGCTCAGAGAGCACCAAAGACCCCATAGTCCTAGTCCTCCTCCTCCTCCCCACAAACCCCGCTTCCTTCTAGCATGGATGATGTTCCCTAGCTGCGTCATGAAACGTCTGCACGAAAACAAGCAAGCTCAAAGAACAGAGTCAGAGGACAGTCAGTTGCACACTCCCCTCTTCAAAGGCTCCCTTGCCCCCCACGCCCCCAAAGCTACTTACAACAATGTTTTCCGGATAAATGTTATCACTGTAGGAGCCGTCCTCAAAATTGACCTCGTAAAAGGTTTGCGTGGTCACCCCAATCACTTTACACCGGTAATAGAGGCCGTTCCGGTTCTTTGCAATTACTGTCTGGCTCAGGGAGACCTCTCTGGAAAAGGGAAGCTGGGAAGGACAAAAGAGACGTTCCATCATCATCCGAAAGTGCCGGGAGGGGAGGAATGGGGGACACGAGGCAGAGAAGAGGAAGGGGAGGGACAGATCCAAAGGAGACCTACCACGTGGCTGGCGGCTTTGTGCTTGAAGCAGGTGATGGACACCACGTAGGGCCAATCGTCAGGCTCGATGGGCACGCCCGCCGCGCGGGCGCAGGTGACGTGGAAGGACGTGGAGCAGTGCTCGGAGGAGCACTGGATGCAGGCTCCCGACACTTTTTTCATCCGCTTACGGCAGTAGACACATTTCTGCAGAGAAAAGGGGGGGATGTCAGGATTCCAGCAATCGCCCGAATTAAATCAGGATTCTCGAGCCAAACTTCAAAGGATTCATTCGAGGCGACCTACTGGCCCTGCCCTGTATGAAGCCAACTCTGGCATATGTCATTTACAGTCCCCTGTGACCCTGTTTCCCTCCCTCCCCCCTGGGTGTGTCATGAATCAGATTCTCCAATTGAGCACATTCACAGGCTGGGTGTCATCAATCACGTTCTCCAATTAAATATATTCGTGGGCAAAAGCTCTGGTAGTTTAGTTACAATCTTTTAAAGGTTAAGAGTTGGAATGTACTTTCGCTTCCAAACTGCTGCAACTCTTCTTCCAGATTTCCTTCCTCACACTCCCCCTTTTATGGCAACTACTAAAACAGGCCTAGGAAGGTTTTATGAGTTGACAGGGAGTTGTGTTAGGGCATGCGGTAGAGCGTTTGGCCAAGGAACAGCAGTTTGGAAAAGGTTCAGAAAAGGCCATTCTTTGTAAAAGTAGAACATTTATGTTCAGAAGCAAACGTAACTCCCAAGAGTCCAGGACGAGAATGGGGGAGATCCCAGCCAGACCTCCGATCAAGGATCCCATGTCTTGTTTCGAGCCCCTTTCCAAAGGAGAAAGGGATCAACTGCCACTAGCCCTAGATATAACTTCTGGGAACACAGTGATGGACCGGCTGCTGAAACAAAGCCAGCTTATGGCATACGCTTGAAAGAAGCCTGTAATTGTGGAGTTTGTCTGGCAAGAACAAAGAAGGCTTATTCACAGAAAATAGGCGCCTGTAACACGGCTAGCAATTCTAGGTGGTTAGAAGGACTGATAACAGTAAAAAAAAGAGTTAGGCATCCTGCATAGTTCAGCTAAAAGTTAAGAATAGGGATGGCCCAGAGCCATGATGGCGAACCTAGGCATGCGTGCCGCCGGCAAGCGAGCTGCAGGCAAACTTACCTCACTGGGCATGCGCGCGCCTCAC